GTCTGACGGGCTGTGCTCTGCTGTGCAGGAGCTGAGTGGTTTCCCCAGCGAGGCACGAGGCGCCGTGGAGGTGCTGCACCCGGCCATGTACACCTGCACGGCCGTGCTGCTGCTCTGCCTCTTCACCACCATCATCACCTACATCGTCAACCACGGGTGAGTGTCTTGGCGCCAGCCTTGGCCGTGGTGACGGTTGGAGGGGCTGTGCTCGGGTGGGCGTCTCTGTGGGCAGCTGGAGGAGCTCCCCAGGCACTGCCAGCATCCAGGAGGAAGGTGTGCAGGGATGGCCGTCCAGGGGATGGCCCTTCAGGAGATGGCCCTCTAGGACATGGCATTTAAGGGCACGGGCTTTCAGGAGATGACAGCCCTTCAGGAAAGTGCTGCCAGGCAAGTAGTGCTGCCACAGGAGCCCATCTTGGGGCAATGGCTGGATGTGTCCTGCCTTGATGGTGATGGGGGCCTTGGGCTGGTTGGCTGTGTCTTGTCCTGCAATGTGAGGCATGGAGGAGGTGAGTGAGACTTTGAGGGTGGATGTGAAGACCCCCTGAGACCTTGTTGGGTCAGAAATGGTGAGCAGCTCAGGGATGGGGTCCCGCCATACCTGGGGCCAACGAGCCCCCAGGCGAGGGGACAGTGGGGCAGTGGGCAGCAGAGTGGTGGCTGGACAGGAGCCGGGGGGGCCTTCCTTCTACAAAAGCAGTGCCCCATGGGCAACCGGCATGGAGTGAACAGGGCGCTTAGCAAAGGGCAGGAGCAGGGCCAGCCGTGCTGCCAGAGCCTCACCCCAGGCTGGTGCTGGGCCCCCTCCGGGGCCGAGGGCTCTCCACCGCTCCTCCATCACCCCTGTAAGGCAGCAGCAAGCAACGCTCGGCAGCAGGTCCTGCTCAGAGCCCCAGGTGCAGCGGGAGCCCCTCACTGCCCCACAGTTAACACCGAGCCCCCCTTCCACCCCCCACCAGGATGCAGGTCACTGCACGAGTCAGAGTGAGACCGCCTCAGCAGGCCACTTACCAAGAAGCTGCCTTCTTTAAAGCAAAAAGAACACAGAAATAGTTATATCTAACACTTAACGAGTACTTAATGAGATGCACATAAGGCCAAAGTAAGAGCCTCCTGCTGTAAGTGAAACAAGCACTAACGAAGCCAAGCAATGCTCTCGGTCCACATCTATTGCCCTGCTGGAAGAACCCAACAAGAACGATTATATCTAACACTTAACAAGCACTTAATGAGATACATGTGAGGCCAAACCATTCCTCTTGCTATAAGTGAAACAAACACTAACGAAGTCAAGCAACATTGTTAGCTAAATCTATTATCTGTTTCTCAGGAAGAACCCAGTAATAAGTATTATATCTAACAAGTATTTAACGAGATAAATACAAGGCCAAACTGTTCCCCTTACTATAAGTGGAACAAACACTAACAAAAAGTCAAGCAACACTATCAGTCCACATCTAGCTATCACCTATTTGGAAGAACCCGACAGTAATTATTATATCAAATACTTAACAGTACTTAATGAGATACATGTAAGGCCAAGCCATTCAATTTATGATAAGTGAAACCAGTATTAACAGTTAAAGCCAAGCAACACTATCAGTCCACATCTAACTACTACCCAGTTGGAAGAGCCCAATAGTAATTATTATATCTAACACTGAACAAGTACTTATTTAGATAAATATAAGGTCAAGCCATTCCTGTGGCTGTAAGTGAAGCAAACACCAGCAAAGCCGGGCAGCGCTATCAGCCCACATCTCCCGCTGGAAGCAATGACTGCTGCCCAGCCAGAGCCAGGAACAACCCAGAGCCAGGGCACCAGGAGAGCATCCCTTACCTCCAGCCCGGCTCCTGCCGTCCCCTTCTCCGCGTCCCAGCACCGGTGGCTCCCTGCTGACAGCCCTGTGATGGGCACGTTGCCACATGCATGCTCTTACGTGTATGGCTTCTTTATCAGCCACGCTCCGTTGCCTGGCCAGGGACAGGCCGTGTCGGAGCATCCCTCCAGAGCAGCAGAGGCAGGATTTGTGCTGGCAGGAGCTGTGGCTCTCTCACATGCTGCAAATAACTGTCCTGCTCACGGCCAGGCAGGAGCTCATGGGGGCCTGCTGTGCCTGTCTTCCAGTACCATTCTCATCCCGCGGAAGGGCTGGCACATGCTGCTTAACCTCTGCTTCCACATCGCCATGACGGCCGCTGTCTTCGCGGGAGGCATCACCCTCACCGGCTACCTGATCGTCCAAGCGGTAGGTACCAGCGGAGAGGGGACGGCCACCGCGTGCTGCCACTGCCCGGGGCTGCTCTGCGAACAGCAAGTCTGGGCAGCCCAGCATGGTGAGGTTTTGCTCTGTTGGGACCTGCAGGATGGTGACCGGAGGGGACGCAGCCATGTCCGCAGCACTCCCCCTTCCCGACCATCACCTCTCTCCCACAGGTCGGCATCATCTTGCACTACTCCTCCCTCTCCACCCTGCTGTGGATGGCGGTGAAAGCCAGAGTGCTCTACAAGGAGGCGACCTGGAAGGCGCCGCGGCAGCCAGACGGGGACGCGTCCCAGCCGGCCCCCAGACCCATGCTACGGTATTAACAGCCCTTCCCCTCGTGCCGCCCTGCAGGGGAGCAGAGAGCTGCGGGAGCTTCCCCTGCCCCACGTCCAGAGGCTGGGGGCGGGGGTTACCCGCCTCGCCCGCCCACAGCCGTGCCGTGCTCTCTCGAGGGCTCGCTCCGGGTGTGCGGTGACACCGTCCCCCCCTGTGCAGGTTCTATCTGATCGCCGGCGGGATCCCCCTCATCATCTGTGGGATCACGGCAGCCGTCAACATCCACAACTACCATGACAACAACCCCTAGTAAGTGTCCCTGCTCAACCATGCCTTCCTCCCCAAACGGGTGGCCTCCCTCTGCCGGGGCAGGGGAACCGGCAGCACCGGGAATCCCGGCAAGCTTGGGAAAGGCCGGTGAGCTTTTTCCCAAGAGCTATCCATATATTGGGAAAAAAAAACCCAGCCAGGCAGCCAGCATGCCTCTGCAGAGCCTGTGCCATCGAGGCAGGGGTGCTGAGCATCACAGTACCACAACACGTGGCTGCCGGCTGTGCAGGCACCCAGGTCTGCTCATCAAAGCCCCTTTCCTCCTGTACAGCTGCTGGCTGGTGTGGCGGCCCAGCCTGGGGGCTTTCTACGTCCCCGTGGCTTTCATCTTGCTTGTCACCTGGATTTACTTCCTCTGCGCTGGGCTCAGCCTCCAGTGCCGACCGGCACACCAGAAAGATGTCCCTGAGCCGCTGGAGCCACCGCCACGGCTGGGGGGTGCCAGCGACCTCCTGACGGACTCTGGGTCCATCTCGGTCACGCTGAACTCAGGGCCGCCCTGCCCCGAGGCGGACGGAGTCTACTCTCTGCAGGTGCAATTCTGGGCGCTGGTGACCACCCACACCTTGTACATCGCCCTGTGGACATTCGGTGCCATGGCCGTCTCCCAGCGCCGGTACCTGAACATCATCTTCACCTGCCTCTATGGCATCACCGCCGTGGCGCTGGGACTCTTCATCTTCATCCACCACTGCGTCCGGCGCCAGGACGTCCTCAACTCCTGGTTCTCCTGCTGCCCCTCCTACAGGAACGCACTGCCCATGCAGGCGTACGTCCACCCCGGGCTGGCACCGGAGGACGGCTCGCAGGTCTTCATCGGCTGTGACCCGGAGGTGGCTCGCTCTGGTGCCTCCTCCTCCTCCTCGCCCAGCAGCGCCGGCTCGGCGGGGGGCCGCCGCAAGCTCACCAATCTGCCGGGAGCCCCCAGCCAGGCCGACAA